CAAAGTGGGAGTTGTCACAGCTGCTCTTTGCTGATGACACTGTGCTCTTGGGAGATTCTGAAGAGAAGTTGCAGAGATTGGTGGATGAATTTGGTAGGGTGTGCAAAAGAAGAAAATTAAAGGTGAATACAGGAAAGAGTAAGGTTATGAGGATAACAAAAAGATTAGGTGATGAAAGATTGAATATCAGATTGGAGGGAGAGGTATGGAGGAGGTGAACGTATTCAGATATTTGGGAGTGGACGTGTCAGCGGATGGGTCTATGAAAGATGAGGTGAATCATAGAATTGATGAGGGAAAAAGAGTGAGTGGTGCACTTAGGAGTCTGTGGAGACAAAGAACTTTGTCCTTGGAGGCAAAGAGGGGAATGTATGAGAGTATAGTTTTACCAACGCTCTTATATGGGTGTGAAGCGTGGGTGATGAATGTTGCAGCGAGGAGAAGGCTGGAGGCAGTGGAGATGTCATGTCTGAGGGCAATGTGTGGTGTGAATATAATGCAGAGAATTAGTAGTTTGGAAGTTAGGAGGAGGTGCGGGATTACCAAAACTGTTGTCCAGAGGGCTGAGGAAGGGTTGTTGAGGTGGTTCGGACATGTAGAGAGAATGGAGCGAAACAGAATGACTTCAAGAGTGTATCAGTCTGTAGTGGAAGGAAGGCGGGGTAGGGGTCGGCCTAGGAAGGGTTGGAGGGAGGGGGTAAAGGAGGTTTTGTGTGCGAGGGGCTTGGACTTCCAGCAGGCATGCGTGAGCGTGTTTGATAGGAGTGAATGGAGACAAATGGTTTTTAATACTTGACGTGCTGTTGGAGTGTGAGCATAGTAACATTTATGAAGGGATTCAGGGAAACCGGCAGGCCGGACTTGAGTTCTGGAGATGGGAAGTACAGTGCCTGCACTCTGAAGGAGGGGTGTTAATGTTGCAGTTTAAAAACTGTAGTGTAAAGCACCCTTCTGGCAAGACAGTGATGGAGTGAATGATGGTGAAAGTTTTTCTTTTTCGGGCCACCCTGCCTTGGTGGGAATCGGCCGGTGTGATAATAAAAAAAAAAAAAAATATTACTTATGGGGAAAATTAATTCAGCTAACAATGAGCTTTCAGGAATGGATTAATATCGTTAACTGAGGGTCCACTGTACAATTTAAATAGTATCCAGTATTACTTTTTTCAAAATTCTGTTTCCTGTTTTTTCTGCCTTTCTTTTTTTCATACTTAAGGTTCCACTTAATGAAAGTTGCAGTAATTTTTTTTTCTTCGAGTTGGTTTTGTAGCACGATTCATTTCAGGGTCTGTTCCTAACTTTAGCTTATTACAGTAGAGAGTTAATGTATGTATGTATGTATTGGTATTAAAGAACATACAGGGCAGTGATGGAGCCATCTGCAAGTCAGAGATTTCAGTGTATGGTAGTAGTTTGTGATTCCTTGAATGTGCATTTCCTGTGAGAGTATGTTACAAGAGTGAGTAACAGCAAGGTTTATAAATACTGATAATGATGTTTTTGAGGTAAAATAGCAGCTTTCTTGCTGACCACATACTACTAACATTAAAGCTGATTGAGAACCTCGAGTAAACTGGCTGTACGTATACATAAATGTAAGGCCACAGATATTTTGCGTATGTTGAAACATCTGCTGAAATGACAGGTAATCACAGAGTTGAAACTTAAGATGAATGAATTTGTGTGGGCTTCTACTTTATACAAAAATTGAATACACAAATAATCCACATATAGGAGAAGGAAACCTACAATAATGACATTTTGGTCCGATTTGGACCATTAACCCTTTGAGGGTTTTCGTCGTACTAGTACGTCTTACGCGTAGGGGTTTTTGACGTACTAGTACTCATAAATTCTAGCGGCCTCAAATCTAGTGGGAGAAAGCTGGTAGGCCTTCATATGAAAGAATGGGTCTATGTGGTCAGTGTGCACAGTCTAAAAAAAATCCTGCAGCACACAGTGCAAAATGAGAAAAAAAAAACTTTGACCATTTTTTTTTAATAAATCAGCGACTTTGCAGTGTATTTTCGTATGGTATTTATTGTTGTATTCTAGTTTTCTTGGTCTCATTTTATAGAATGGAAGACATATTACTGAAATTGAGATGATTTTGACTGGTTTTACAATGAAAGGTGCCTTGAAATTGAGCTCAAAGTAGCAGAAATGTTCGATTTTTACCAAACTTCAAAAGTAAACAAATCGTGCCAAGTGTGCAATACACGTCAACTGGTGAGTCTAATATTCTTTCACAAGTGCACCAATAATATTTGTACCATTTTTTACACTAATGCAATAGTCTGCATAACAGTAAATCTTATATTTTTTGTGAGAATAAAAATTCAAAGTGGAAAGCAAAAGAATATATGAGGGGCCTTGAGACGTGACTAATCACTAGAGGAAATGTCATTTTAGTGCCAGGAATGTCTTTCTTGTTTATTCTGGACCCTATTCGGAAATTGGCATCTTTTGAAATTTGTGTGAAATTGGCAAAATTGCTAATTTCTGACCACTGTACTGGATAGTTGAATTTATAAATGGGTGGTTTCTTGCACCCATTCGATAGAAAAAATGGAGTTCTAGCGAAATATTCATATTTTTTGTCGACTAGTACAGTGAAATTGGCCGAAAATGGGGCTCAAAGTGGGCAAAATCGCCGATGCGTAAAGATCGCCGAGACCGCTAACTTTGCGACAGCATAATTCCGTAAGTTTTCTATCAAATTTCAAACTTTTGGTGTCGTTATGATCGGGAAAAGATTCTCTATCTTTTCATAAGAGAAAATAATTTTTTTTTTTTTTAAATTTGGCCGACCCTGAGAACGAGTTTCGGAGAGGGCCTGTCGACCCTCAAAGGGTTAACTAGTATTGCAAATCAAAATTGTAATTACACGTTGTAACCTTAACAAAGAAATAAACATTATTATTATTATTGCAGGAGTCAATAATGTCTCTAGGAAATTTCAAAGTATGAAATTTGATGGAAAAACTTAAAGAATTATGCAAGCAAAAGGTTAGCGGTGTGGGTGCAATTTACTTATTGTTAATTTCTCTCATTTAAGCCTTTGCGGGTCCAAGCCGTAGTTCTATGCGTTGTCCCCAGGGTCCTAGAATTTAAAAAAAAAAAATTATTTTTTTCTTATGAAATGGTAGAGAATCTTTTTCTGAAGGTAATAAAACAAAAAGTACAAAATTTGATGGAAAATTGACGAAATTATACTATCGCTAATTTTACTGCTGCAGTGATATTTACCCATCAGCGATTTTGCCCACTTTCACTCCTCATTTAAGCCAATTACATTATTCTAGTCGACCAAAATCTTATCTATTTTGCTTATATTACTTCTATTTTATCGACTGAGCACAAGAAACTGCCCAGTCAACTACACCTACCATCCGACTTACGACCTGCTCGACATACGACGACTCAACTTACGACCGTGTTTTTTATGCCAAATTTCTGGGAAATAAACAAGTGTTTGTGTTGTACACAGTGTTTATTCTAAACCTTACAGTATAAAATGCAGTACTAACAGCATAAAAAGTAAAGTAAAACATGAAATACCAAAATAAAACAATAAAATAAAGTCATTACAAAAATATTATGTTGATATTCAGCAGTAAAGTTCGACTTGCATCCATTTTGACTTACGACCGGTTTCTCGGAACCGAACTCAGTCGTAAGTCGGATGGTAGGTGTATTTCAACTTCCTAGTAAAGTGATCAGAAATTGATAATTTGGCCAATTTTACAAAAAAATTTATAATCCAGTTTCAAAATAGGGCCCAGAATAACAATGCAGACATTCCTGGCACTCGTATCCTTTGTTTATATGTTACGTTTCCAGACTTTACAAATGAATTCCACTTTGATTTTTATTCACATAAAGAATTTTTATTCACATGAAAAAATGCAAGATATACTGTTATGCAGTATCATAATAATTCTATAAATATCATTGAATTTGTGAACGTATAATAGACCCACCAGTTGACATGTATTGGACGCATGACGTCATTTGTTAACTCTTGAACATAGCAAAAATATAGCATTTCTGCTACTTTGAGCTCAATTTCAAGCTATTTTCAGTATTAAAACTAATCAGAATCATCTCTATTTCTGTAATATATCTTCCCTTCTATCAAATGAGACCAAGAAACAGTGAATACAATCGTAAAAATCATACAAAAATACACCACAAAGTCGCTGTTTTAATCCAAAAATGTGTTTTTTTTTTTTTTCTCTATGCACTGCTTGCTGCAGAATTTGTTTTATATGGTGCACACTTACCACATAGATCCATTCTCTCATATCTAGGCCTAAATTTACCACTCACAGCTTATCTGATTGAGCTGAGCTCATGCTGTAGAACTACGGCTTGGACCCTGTGGACAGGGTGTAGAACTGTGGCCTGGACCCCTCGAAGGGTTAAGTTGCTTAATATGACAAAATCCTCACTTATTTTAGTAGTATGCCTTCTGTTCTATCGCTTGAGCACAAGTAATTACCCGTTCAACCTATAAAATGCACAGAAATTGGTAATTTGACCAGTTTTACATCAAATTAAAAAAATCCATTTTAAAAATAGTCCAGAATAAACACTGTAGACTAATTATTGTTAATTAAAATAATAAATTTGATATTATTACTTCATATTATTAAAAATATGTTCCTAGAACTTTGGAAATAATCTGCAGAGGCCTTGCATGCACCATTGTGTGGGTATGTACACTTTCCTCTGCTCTTATACATGTGTACCTTCCTGTGATGTGTATTTGGGCACCTTTATGTATGTGCACACTTGTTCTCGTGTTCTTTTGTTTTTGTGTTTATTAGAATGCATGATTTGTTGTAGGGACATCTGAACTGTCATATCTGCAAGTGTCTGGGAAGACAGTGATAGTGTGACTGATGGTGAAAGTGTGTATTTTTCAGTTCACCCTGCCTCAGTGGGAGAGGGTCAGTGTTTAAAAAAAAAAAAATTATTCATTACCCTTTATTGCAGGTACACTCAGGAAGCCTTCTACAACAGTCGACCCTACTACACTCCAGAACCACAGCGTAGAATACTCCCCCGCCTGGGCAACCCCTGACCCCTAAGAACATGCTCCAAAGAGGCATATAAAGCCTGCGAGCCTCACCTTCTCAGCAGCCACAAGCGCACAGGATAGGAGGAGCCTCTGGACCAGGCTCTGTCTACTTTGGAAGAGTGACCACCATCAGCTAGTCATAGCATGGATCAACACCTTCCTCATCTCGTGTCTCCTACACCTTACCAATGCCATCAACTAAATAACATTTGCACATGTCCTTGACTTGGTCCTGACTAACCAGCAATAATATTTTGAGTTGTCATAAAATTTAAAGGATTTTTGTGTTCTCAGGAGTGGCACTTCTATTTTTCATTCGCTTTTTTTTAACATTATGTGCCATTGTTGATGAAATTCATTACTCTACTGAAATTTTAGATACATATTGAAATGTATTTTGAATAAAGTCTCAGTTTTGTAATATATTTTAAAGTTACAGTTTGTCATAGTTGTTGACTATGAATTAATGATAAGTTTGCTGGGTGGTCATTAGGTCCTCTTCTGTTACTACAAGACTGCAACAATAATCATGTTTATATGAATCAAACAAGTTTTTGACCTCAGGGGAAATCATCGGATATATTAATACTGTTGTTTGTATTATTGTCTGGTGTGATTAATGCCTGAAGCAGAACATTTATATGTTGAGAAGCCCTCAGTCAAAGAAAAACCAACTGGGTGATTGCTACAGGTATGTCTGTCTGCAACTTCATCATAGGCAATTGTGTTGCCAAGTGTACTGAAGGAAGTGTAGCATGACTCAGAAGTGCAATGCTTTATTCATTTTGGCATTGAAGGAGATGCAGAAAGTTTACAAAAATAGGTTGTCATGAAATGCAGTCTTTTTTTTTTTTTCCATAGAAATTAAAGTAAAAATTATTGTAAAAGATTGTGCTGTAAGAATGGAGCCAGAAGGTCACTCAAGCTATCAGTCATAGTAATGTAAAGGTGAAATATTAAGTAGGAGTCAGGTGGTGCTTTATGGAGTCCCACTTAATAAGTTATACTACAAGCAGATATCAACAATTTTAACTTGGATTGAAACAGGCAGCCAAATGATGAATTAACATCTTAGGTGCAAGTTAATTCAGTGAAGATTTAAATATTTTACATTTATTTCTACATGCTCTTGGAAGTCTAACCCCCTCCCCCCCACACACATGTGCATTCTCACTCTTGCTCTCTCCCTCCACTCTATGGCCCTCCTTTCTTCCTCTTCCTCCCACTTCTTTCTTCCCCCTTTCTTTTTCCATTCCTCCTTTTCCCTCTCTCTCACACTTCCTCCCTTTCTTCCTTCATCTCTTTATCTCTTTCACCATCTACTCCACTCATACCCACCTACCCACTCAGGCACATGCAAACACAAAAGTTCACATATATACACATGCATATGCACAGAGCATTTACAGGCACACACATGAGCACATGCATGCATGTATGCATGGATGGCTATCAGCTCTTAACACATTCGGTGCGAGTCTCTTCCATTTCACCCTAATCAGTCTTATTTTCATTGGCAAAAATTGTAGCCCACAGATGTGCCTTTGGTGAAGAATGTCCTCAAGTTGGAACTTTGGCCAAATGTAACGATAGTTTTGGTCGGCTACTCTCACTCCCATTACGTATTATAATCTCGTGTAATTTGCCATGCCAGTCTCCTTCATGGTCATTCTCAAAAGCTGGCAGGCCTTCAGAAAAATATGCTTACATACTCGAATACAAGTGTGTGTAATTACCTGTTTGTAACTGAAGAAGTAGAGCTATGCTTCTGATATTTGTGTGTATGCGTGTGTGTACCTAGTTGAGTTCGTGGGTGTTGAGCTCAAGCTCTTGGACCCACCTTTAACTTTTGGTCAGCTTCAGTGATTAAGCTCTGTGGTGTTTCACGAAACTGTATAGACTCAGCTTGCACCTGGTGTGTGTGTTTCAGCAGTGGTTGAGCCTTGATAAGAAGTGTCAAGTAAGATAACCTACACCTTTGTAAGGAAATTAGGTATTGAAAATTTCTTGGGATAGGGAAGTCTATTTCACCAAGCACATAAATGGAAAATATCAGTTACAGCAAAAACAGTATAAGAAATTACATAAATTTAATTTAGTTAGATTTGCTAAATAGCTGAAACAAGAAAATTACATTTTTAAGACTCGGATTGCCATGAGTGATGCCTAGTTGCTGAATTTGACTTCACTATAACTAGTCTGTAAACTATCAGAAGATTTGTAAGAAAGTAGCTCCAATGAGTGCCAGATAATTTGGAGGACAAGTATCACACAGTTCATTTGAATCTCTGATATTTAACAGAAACTATGGAAGCTGATTATATTTTTGAAATGACTTTCTCAAATGATAAATGTGTGAAGGAACCTCAGTACCCCTTCTGGAGAGAACACAACCCTCCCTCACTCTGCATGCAA